GCACGGTGTAAATCAGGAAAGGTGGGAGTAAGGGTAGTATCCTTCCACCGTCCTGGTTTGAGCCGTAGGCTGAGCAAATCATCCAAGAAGCTGGTGGTATGAAGAAGAGGGAAGCAGCGGGATTGGAGGAAGACTCGTTTACAATCCGCAGTATGCTCGCTCAGAGTGAAAAGAACTGGACGCCCTTACGGATAAAGATGAAAGACCATGGCCTTCAGTGTGGACTACAGCTCGGCTCATTTTACTTGGATCCGTGATCAAGACCCATGGAAACAGCCGTCAAGAAACACAAAACCTTGGGTCACTTTATCTGTGTCTGAATCAGCATCTAGACCATGGGGTTGGGAGTGGGGGTGGGGGTGGGGAACTCATTGCCATTGAGTCAATACCGATTCATAGTGACTCTGTAGGACAAGGTAGGACTGCTTCTTTTGAGTTCCTGAGACTGTAACTCTTTACAGGAGTAGAAAGCCTCATCTTCCTCCCCTCAGACTGGCTCGTGGTTTCAAACTACCAACCTTGTGAATTGCAGCCCAATGTGTGACCACTATGCCACATCTTGACTGGTAGGATCTTTGTCCAGGGACCTGTACCCTGAGACTTCCCAACCTGAAGAAGACATTATGACAATCTCCACTTGGAACCAGAAAGGAAAAAACAAACTACCATTTGGGGTTGGAGTGGCTACAGAGGGAATTCTGGTTCATGCCCCAAGAGGCAGTCTGCAGGCTCTCCCTCCACAGCTCCTCCCACAGTGGGCTCGTCCTGGGCTCCAGCTCGAGAGCCCTTGGGTTCAGGGCGAGTATACCTGGACACCAGAGACTCGGGAGTCCACACATGCTCAGTGGGTAGCGGCACTCAGGAAGGGCGATCAGGCTGAGAGAGCCCGCCTGGCCCAGCCAGGACTTAACCCTGGCCCAAGCCCTGCCCTGAAGCCAGACTGCCCAGGGATGTGCTTCTACCCACCACCTCTAACTTGGTTCTGTCTTCTCTTCAGGAGTGTAAACCAAAACATACTCACTGCCATCGAGTCAAATCTTACTCCCCACATCCCTCCAGGACAGAGTAGAACCACCTTGTGGGTTTCTGAGACCGTAAACCTTGATGGGAGAGGAAGTCTCATCTTGCTCCCACAGGGTGGCTGGCATGTTTGAACTGCCAGCATGGAGTTAGCCGCCCAGTTCGTGGTCCACTCTGCCACCAGGAGCCCCAGCCAGAGATGTATCTATGGATAAGAGCCTCTGGGGTGACTGGTTTGAAATTGCCAAGAACCTCTCTCAGCTGGCGAGCGAAACTGCAGTGGTGACTAGAAACTGCTCTTCAGGCCCCCACCTCGAGCAGTGCCCAGGGCACATGCCATACCTGCCCTGCCCTGGCACCCCGCCGCCTCTGAACCTGTTTGTGTGACAAAGTACCACCAGTGGGATGACTTAAAACAACAGAATCCATCTTCTCTCCATTCTGAAGGCTAGCTGCCAGACATCAACATGTCTGCAGAGCTGCGTCTGCAAAGCTGAAGGCTTGGGGTGGGCGGTAGGGGGGGCGGGGCGGGCGGGGAGAAGGCTTCCTGGAGTCTTCCAGTGTCTGGTGGCCCAAGGCTTTGGTTGGTTTTGGCAGCAGGCTTCCAGGCTCTGCCTCTGTCTTGCCGTGGTCGGCTTCCCTCCATGTCCCTATCCTTAGCCCCACTGGCCCTCTCTCCACGTCCAGCTAGGGCCACCTCTCTCACTCGGCCTGCCTCACTGCCATTTCGGTAAGCCACCACCTGCTCCTTGTCCATCTCTGCTCGGTCGTCCACTCACCTGTGTGCATGCTCTGTGAATGTCCGCATCAGTCTGTTTGGCCGACCATCCTGCGTGTTGGACCCTAGCCTCATCCTTCCCTCCTGCCCAGCGGCTGGCTTTCCCTGCTACTCCATATGCGGATGGCCCTACCAAGTGTCCTTCAAGTCTCATCCAAGGGTCTCAGTTCTTGGATGGTTGGTCCCATTCTGAGAACATTCCTGGTCATAATACACTTTGGCATTAGGGTGGGGGGGTGCAATTTAAATTTCAGGAAATTACAGTTCTACAAAAGTCTCTGTGGGTGGAATTGGACAACAGCTCAGATGTCTAGCCCATAAGGCCCTGAAGCCGCAGGGACAGGGCAGGGAGAGGGAGTTTTATACTCTCCGAAGGAGACGTGGCTTTATGTTGCTGCTGCTGTTCCCCCCACCAGCTGGTGCAGTGTGGCAGATCAGCACGGCCGGGGGGGACCAGGAGCCCTTGGGACTTGTCAAGACCAGAGAGAGTGTCAGGAATGCTGCCAGGTATCCTGTCTCGGGTCTGTGTCCTTGCGGGATGATCTCTGGAGTCCATGTCTGTTGAAATGGATTGTTTGGATAAAGGGGATTCTGGGGGGGCAGAGGGGAAAGGAAAGGGATGGCTGGCCACATGAAGTCCGGGGCTCAGGCAACGATCATCAGCCCTGTGCTGTTTCTGAAGACTCCAGAGATGTGCCCGCCAGAGAAGTCCCATGATTATGGAGGGGAAAGACGAAGGGAGGTTAAAAAAGTGGAAAGAAAGGGAGGAAGGTGGATGATGGATGGGTAGATGAGAAAGAGGCAGGGAGGAAATGGATACTTGGATGCAGAGAATAGATGAAGGGAAGGAGGGGAGAGGATGGATGGATGGATGG